TCGATATTGAGAGATTATGGTGTTGATGTTACAGTGAAATGTCTGGTTAAATACTGCTAGGAAAAATTGTGACGAACGTTAAACAGTTAGACGACTTTCGTGGACAGTTTGACGATCTAAGAGAATTTTGTTAATCTGTTAATCAGAGAAAAACTAGTTTCTCGAACGTAATAACTTTCTCATTTAGGGATCCTCCACTTCTCAGTATGAGACGGTCAGAACTCTAGATATTTGTAATTGATATTCTTAAAACGTATGTGCTTTGTTTCACATTAACGAAGGTGAAAAAAAAAAAAAAAACTGATAAAAAATGGAATTGATCGGTTGCATTTTCAACTGACACTTAATCCTACGACACTGACGAATTAAAGAAACAGAGATCACTCTAAGATGACCCTTGAATCAAAGCTATCCCGACATTCGAAGTCAACATCCATCCAACCTTTTCAAATACATAAAACCCTTCCAAATATATGCACCAGCGCATGGAACATAGGAAACGCCACTGATGGCGCGAAAACGCGCGGAAACGTGGCGACAAATCGGACGCATGCCCGGCACGTGTTGCGTCGACGCCTTATGATAATACGTGGCACCGCCATCGGCACGGGCCAACTTTCCACACGCAGAAAGGCGTACGAGTGGATGCTGCAGGTCCCGGGGATGGAACTTATGGCCGATCTATTTCTATTGAGAGCCGTAAGCCACCAGACGAGAAGGGCGACAGTAGCAAACAGCAGCAGCCCGCGGGCGCGTGCTTCCTCTTCGTCTCGGTAAGCGAAGAACTTCGGAACGGCGGAACTTCCTCATGCAAATCGCAAAGGGGAAACGAGAAACACGAAGAGAGAAAAGAGAGAGAGAGAAAGAGAGAAGTCGAAGAACGTTCGAAGCTTTATGAATACGTGATTAGGGGTGGCTCGTGCGCCGCCGAGAAAACCCGAGGCCAGCCACGGAATAAGAATTGGTAATTCGAGAATGAAACGAGAGCGTTTATTAAAAGCAAGACGACGATTGTGTCTGCCTTTTCTGTTCGGAGCGTCGACGTGCACCCGCGAACGTTATGCAAATGCGTTATCCACCGGGGATTTTTCGCGGCAACCGGGCGAAGGTAAAAAAAAAAAAAAAAGGTGAACGGGAGATGCGGGCGAAGCGGAAGCGAGACCTGGATAGAAAACAATCGGACAGAGCGTTTATGTCGCGATACGTCCATGTTACACAGAGCTGTCCCGATCGAGGATATTATTTTCTGACTGGTCTCATGCAAATGCAACCCTCGTGACGGGGTTGGCAAGAGAAGCATCATCCATCCGCCCCTTGACGCGCGCTTCTCTCTTCTCCTTTTCGCTTATTTCCGTGGATATTCTTTATGAATAGCAGATTAGGGCTTTCGTTTCAGGGAAACGGCGAGCACGAAACGAGGAATTCTTAATCAACGGTCCAAGTCAACCCTTCATTACGGATTGCGCTTATTAGCACAAGAGAGGAGGGGAGAACGTCGTTTTTGACGGACGGTATCGGCGATCGTAAATATTCGTCGCGGAGGGGCCGTTTAATCGACAATGAATGATATAATTCACTGATCACTTACGCGTAACATCGTTTGAGGAAGACCAGTTACAACGTAGATTTTAATGTATTTTTTTTTCTTTCTTTTTTTAGTAATGGAAATTTGTCTGAGACGAGACGTCTCTTTGTGCTTCACGATTTTATTATTTAAATGAGTTATTAGTTATTCATATGATTCGTTTTTGTACAACTGTGCCCACTGACTCGTTGTTGCAACATTACATTAAATAGATACCAGTAATGTTGTAATTTGCATTCGAAGTTGAAACTATAGTTGAAAAAGATTTCAGATCAATTACATGTAATTGCAGACAGACAATATTACTCTGTCTAACAAAGTTTCGGATACCGACTGATCGTTAAATTAATAAAATAGCAAGTTGATATTTCTTTTGTCAAGAAAAACACTTCGATTTTATATCAACAAACACTGCTAAAAATTCACGATTATTCGCAATTAAGCGAGCACCGTAATTTTCGATAAATGTTTTAAATTTTCAAATGAAAATGGCAGACAGTGAGAGGAATACAAATGGTAACCAATTTTATCAAAACATAAACACTGCTAAAAATTCACGATTATTCGCAATTAAGCGAGTACTGTAATTTTCGATAAATGTTTTAAATTTTCAAATGAAAATGGCGGACAGTGAGAGGAATACAAATGGCAACCAATTTTATCAAAACATAAACACTGCTAAAAATTCACGATTATTCGCAATTAAGCGAGTACTGTAATTTTCGATAAATGTTTTAAATTTTCAAATGAAAATGGCAGACAGTGAGAGGAATACAAATGGCAACCAATTTTATCAAAACATAAACACTGCTAAAAATTCACGATTATTCGCAATTAAGCGAGCACTGTAATTTTTGTAAATTTTCAAACGAAAGTGTTCGCACACAATGAAGGCAGAGCCTTGCCGTATCAAATGCTCCAAAATATTACCTCGCAGATAGAAAGCAAACATTTTCCGGAATTCTTCGAGGTAAGATACGATCGGGAAGGATCAGATAGAAAGACCGCGAATCAAAGAACGCGTCGCAAGTTCGAGAGTTCACGGAGACAATTAAAAACGAGGCGCGAGCGAAAACATCGCCGGCGAACGGCGAATTTACGACGGTTAAAAATCAGCGGGTTCGCGTGGAAACGCGAAACACAGTATTATTCCGACTTTGTGGACGACCGGTGGTAAAAAGAAAGTTCGTAACGACTTCGACATCTGGCCACCCGGCTCGGGTCTACTGCGCCATGTCCCGATGCTTAATCAACGATGTGAAAAATTTACGAGCGGCCCGTGTCCTCGGTTCCGCGCGTCGATTCATTTTCCAACGAAACCGGAAAACCTTCGAGGAAAGCTTTGAAATCGATCTACGCACGAATTGACGAAAGTGAAAAGCGAATAAATCGTTACTGGTCTTTTTGAAGAAATTTTAGGAATTTTAAACGGCGCGTTGGGCGTTGTAAACGAACGTGACTCTAAATTCTAGATTGTGGAATGTATTAGACTTGTTTAAGAGTGTTTGACGTTTCGCGGAGTAAATTTCGACACGTATGAGAGTTTTAAAGAGAATATATGTATTTCGACTTCTGCTGTTGTTGAAGTTTTTTTAAAATTCTAAAATGCTACAGTTGAATGAAGAATTTATTTGAAAATGGAAAGTAGGAGAGTTTCACTTGTTAAATTTAAGTAAAAAGTTGTTTCGAAAATAGTTAGATAGCATCGAATAATCCTAAACATTTTAAATAAACGTTTTTAAAACGTTTGAAATTGAAACATTGAAATCACTCGGACAGTGAACTGCATCAGTTCGGAATTCGTATTCAATGGCATATAATAAATATAAACCCTACTAACAGCATACTCGACGATCTAACCGTAATTCTAAAATCTAGTTCAATTTCCTGAAACATCGCCATCTTCCCTCGCTATTGAAATCCTCCTTCAGTGCGGATGTTTATGCAAAATATTATGTAAAATACGCAAGAAACATGTACCATTTACGCTCATAAAATATGCATATATGCGTGAAACATATGCAAATAAGAAAAGAATATATAACACGTGTTTTGTGATATATATTCTGTACATACTGTATTTTAATCCACACCAAGATATTGTGATCTGCATTGCAATAAAACAACAAGCAATTTTTCCATTTTCCTTGTTCATGAATAGTCGTTGGGGGCACACGCAGATGCACAAAATTTTCAACGCGTTACGTACAATGAGAGATACATATTTAGAATCTCCTAAGAATGACGAAAGAAAGAAAAAAAAACTCCAACTTGCAACTATTATCAATAACACGCACGACAATAACATTTTACCTGGTTGTTTTAGAAAAGGCACGCAAGAAAAGAGAAAAGGTGGAGGGGATTAAGCAAGATTGAAGGAACAAAGAAGCCTTTTTCCGTAAGAAGAACAAGATGAACAAGAAGAAGAAGAAGAAGAAGAAGAAGAAAGAGGAGGGAGAAGAAGCGTCGAAATTCGCGGCGGCTATAATTTTCAGGCGGACAACGGCATTCCGGCAACGGCTCCGGGAAACCTCTCAGCCTGTCCCGAGGCGCACACCGGTTCCCCGATGGTTCCTCTCTCTCTCTGTCTCTCCCCTTTTGTCTTTCCTTTTGCTCGCCCTCCCCGCCAACCCCCCGTTCGCCGGCCAGTCGTCGATGATCACGGTCGTCACGTCAATTAACGCCGTCCGCGGTAAATGCGAGCCGAAGAATGGACGCCCTCGTTTTTAATTGAATCGGCGCAAATCGAGAACCGGCCCGAAACCCGCCACTCGGGGTGTCCATTAAACGGTCGATCGTTTCAGATAGAGAAAGTAGTCAGGGCCGTTTTAATGGAGGCCCGATCAGCCGAGATAACCGGATTACATTTCGTGTCGTCGAAAAGAAAACAAAGAAAATAAAATAAAAAAATAAAAAAGACACACGGCTCGACTAATTTCGTCCGTGGATTTCGTCCGCGGGACGTGCGCGACCATCTCGCCGCCATGATCCGATCCGGCGCGGCGCGGCGTCTCCATGCGAGACCCCCGTGCATCATTACGCGCGATCCTGACGATGATTACCGACGCCGTCTGTCCTCGATATATATACCGACCCGTCCGTCCAGCCTGCCGTTTCCAGCATCGTGGATTTCGCGTAATTACGACCGAGCCGATTTCTCATATCGTTTGTCGAATCGCGGGACGTTCTCTTTTTTTTATTATTATTTTCTTTTTTTTGAATTACACGGCAGACGAGAGGATTTCCTTTTCTTTTCTTTGATTTTCGTTCCCTGATAGTATCGGCGATAAGTAATTGCGCGTTCAAGCTACACGTTAGATAGCTGCAGTTTGTGAAAAATTGAAACGCGCGAGGTGCGAAGCGATCGCGTGAGAAAAATTACAAAACTGAGGTTGTGCGATTATTGAAAATATTTGAGGCATTCAAATATTTTCTTGTTCTTTTTATAATATCAATTTGTTATGGAGTGATAAAGAGGAGTATTTTAACCGCTTGGTCCGCAATCATCGGATCAGGAATTTGTATGGAAATACAACGACGTCCGACGTTGACGGTATTGGAAGTTTCAACGTGTGAAAACGGGTACGGACAGCGGGGCGAATATTTATGTGTTTAAATTTGCATAAACGTCTGGTAATCGCTAACGCAACTACGAGGACGTTGCAAGGAATTACACGCAATTAGATTTGAAATAATTCGTGAATACGTAAACGAACACTGCAACTGATCGCCGAGCCAATCGCTCGAACCAATCCGACGCACGCTTCTGTCACAACAATACTCTCGGTTATCGTGCCGAAACATCGAATCTATCGCTCATACCTGACTTGTACAAACTCGCTCGACGCTCTAAATCTCCGCTTATCTGCCAACAGGACCATCCTACCTAGTCGACCACATTTCGGGAACCATTTTTTCCACGTAACCTCACGCGGTACGAGACGTCGATATAAATATTCATGGAGAGGCGCGCGGGTGAAACGATTCGAATTAATTCGTCGTCTCTTTCTCTTCATCGCGGACCAGAGGAGATTACTTAACGAGCGTCGTTGGCATTTAATAATTTGGCGCCTTCGATCGAGAAATCAAACACAGAGCCCGATGGCGCGAACACACGGAAGCAACAATGATACGACGAAGAGGCATTTTCGAGAGGTTTCTCTCCTCGAAACAGTGGAGGAGAAGGAGGACGGGTTTCCTCGGTGTTTCGAGCGGGGCGCGCGTCTATTTCCGGCTATGTTGGTGGCCCGCCACGGGTGATTTCAATGCGCGGCGCCGTCGGATTCGGGCCACGCCATGAACGCGACGAGATAACTCGTGCTTCTCTCTCTCTCTCTCCCTCTCTTTCTGTGTCTTGAATGGAACGAGCTTCCCGCGACGATAACGAAGCAACTCTCTCGCATTCTTCCGGAGAACTTGCTTCACGTTTCCTCGCCTCTCTCTTCTCTAGGTAATCTATTCTCTCTTTGCCTCCCTTCTTCCCCTCGCACCGACTCCCTCTCTCTCTCTTTCTCTCTCTGTTCTTCCTCTCTTCAACACTCGACGAAAGTTTTTCGGACATATCCACCGGACTGAGTTCTTTCAATTATATCCAGCCAACATGAAGAGAGAGAAAGAGAGAAAGAGTATCGTGTGTTGGTTGGCGCGCGCACGACCGCGCGCTCGCGCGTAAACACGAGTCGCCGTGCGAAGCAAGATAATAAATTATTACTATTTTAATTGCGCCGCGTCGGGCCGTTCTTCCGCGAGTCTAAATTATGGGCCGAGTGACGATAATATATTATACCGAGCGATATTCCTTCCACCAATCGCTAATGATTTATCGCGAGAACGACCGGGGAACTGTTAAATGCATCTCGCTGATTTCTTTTCGTCCCTCCGCTGCAACCCCTTCCTCCTCCCATCGAGGTATCTCCCCGTTTCCCAGCCAGCGGACGGGCTGTTCGAGTGCTCGTTGAACTCGAACCTGCCCCTCGTTCTGGCGAGAACCACGACCCGAACTGAACCGTTCGAGGGAAACCAGGTGTCGACGAACTAACGGGCGACTCGCGAAAAACGAGACAGTTTTCGCCATTTTGTAGAGACGCGGTTCACTCTGTGCACGATTGAACTTCAGTTTGGCTCGGCTCGAAGGAACGCAGTGGGTTCAATTAGGATTGTTAAGAATCAAGCAGAAGTTGGTTGACTGCTGGACTGATGGACTTTTGTCTGATTTTCTTTTAGCGTAGAGATAAATTCAGACGGTGATTTCAAGAACAAACGCTTCAAATTAACGCTAGAAACCAAAGTATAATGTTTGCGGCAAAGAAATTTAAGTGCAAGAAGAAATTAACAATACGACAAAGGAAATAAACAATTTTGTTAATGTGTTTTATTAAAAATCACTCGAGCATTTAAAAATACGCTGTAACAAATGTATAAAATTTCCGTGGGAAATTGTAAATTGGTCATTTTGGTAATTCAATGTGAAATGTGAAATTCAATGTATCGGAAACGAGAATAAATGACGAAATGAAGACTGCATCGCTGAATGCAAAGACTGTATTCCTCAAACTCGTTATGCACCAACCATCTTTCAACGAACATTTGTTAATAATAATATTTCATTAAAAATCACTCGAGTATCTAAAAGTACGCTGTTACAAATGTATAAAATTTCCATGGGAAATTGTAAATTGGTCATTTTGGTAATTCTAGTGTGAAATTCAATGTATCGAAAACGAGAAAGAATGACGAAATGAAGAATGCATCGCTGAATGCAAAGACTGTATTCCTCAAACTCGTTATGCACCAACCATCCTTCAACGAACATTTGTTAATAATAATATTTCATCAAAAATCACTCGAGTATCTAAAAGTACGCTGTTACAAATGTATAAAATTTCCATGGGAAATTGTAAATTGGTCATTTTGGTAATTCAATGTGAAATGTGAAATTCAATGTATCGGAAACGAGAATAAATGGCGAAATGAAGAATGCATCGCTGAATGCAAAGACTGTATTCCTCAAACTCGTTATGCACCAACCATCTTTCAACGAACATTTGTTAATAATAATATTTCATCAAAAATCAGTCGAGTATCTAAAAGTACGCTGTTACAAATGTATAAAATTTCCATGGGAAATTGTAAATTGGTAATTCTAGTGTGAAATTCAATGTATCGGAAACGAGAAAGAATGGCGAAATGAAGAATGCATCGCTGAATGCAAAGACTGTATTCAACTACCCTCTTCCTCAAACTCGTTATGCACCGACCATCTTTCAACGAACATTTGTCCCCCACAAATTCGATCATCCTCTCGCTCGGCAGAAGTTAAAAAGCCGAGGAGACCACACCATTCCGGTCGAAGATCGTCATCATCACGCTACCGGAACCTGGTTCTCTTCGTCGAACTGCCAACTTCCCTTTTCGCCCAGCTAGGATTGGGATCGACCAATCACGAGCGTTAACGAGAGCCCGGTGAACGGTGTGCCCGTTAATTAATTCAGTTACGAAATGATCGGTACCACGCTCGTTTATGGATGGAGGCGAGCGGCTCCGCGACTTCTAATTAGTTCACGAGGCGGCCGCGCGCGTAGAGAAACGCGCGTAACCCTGGACTTTTCGCTATGGCTGATTAATTAGCCCCCGGGGGAAAAACAGCGTTGCAGTCCCGCAAACATCTCCGCGTTTCGGTAAACAAATTGCCGCAATACCGAAGGTAGGACGCGAGAAAAGATGCCACGGCGTTCCGATGTACACGTTTGAGATTTCGACTCATCTCGAACGCTCGCGATCCGCGGACGAGCGACATTTTGCCGTACCGTGAACTTTTAGTCCCTGCTATAGTTCGTTTTCTTCTTCTCGACAGTTTGACGGTAGAACTATTCGACGACTGAAGCATAAAATTTCCATCATCAGTTGGATTTCAATGAGACATTAAAGTAAAAGAAACAGCAGGCTACAACAGTTGTCCACTTGACGAAGAATTATTTATTTCTCTAAAAAACACAGTTTTGTATCTGTGAAATGTCTAAACAAAAATTGTCGACTGGCCATTATGGCCATTTTTCTGTGCGATCCTGCTCAGAAGAGCATCACTTTGTTTTCAGATTTGCCTGAATAATTTTCTGAAACGTGTGAATTAATGCAAATGTAGGGAACTTCCAATTTGGGTTATTAACGAGAGAATAAACAATTTTTCAGTTAACATTCTATCCGAATATAAACCGCGAAAGAGGAGCCATATTTCTCTGACACATTGTAAATAATATCGCAAGTATAAATTTAAATATAATTAGTCACAGTTTGAATATTAACTTAAGGAAGTTATTATGTCTCTTCAAATTTTAACATGTTCTAAACTCACGAACGCGATACAAGTATGATGGAAAATTGGAAAATGTATCGAAATTATGAGACGTAGTCAACACTGAAATTGATCAAGTAGTATAAGTATATCTATTTCAATTCAAATTATGTATGCAGAGTTTAGACTCATGATTTATAATACAAGTTGCAAAGAGTCGTTCTGAGAGTAGATGTCACCATAAAAGAGTTGAATAGGAGAAATTTATGATTTATATTTAGATAGAATACTAAATTAAAGAAATTATCTTATTCTTGTTACCAATTCAAGATGAAACGAACGTTCGTAAAATTTTCCAGATAGTTATTACCTACGATACAAGATTACGTCAATGTCAATTTATGTTTCGCCTATCGTTTGCATTCCACGATTAATCTCTTTTCCAAACTAATCCTGTTTAATTAATTAATTAATTAAAAGAGTTTAATTTGATAACAATTCACGATGACAATTCAGCAAAATTCTCATCCACGAATAATCACGTCCAGTATGTTTTCGCGTTAAAGCAAACGATGTCACTGGCGTACAAGTGTACGAACGAAGAAAATTGGCTACGAGATAAATGGAGAACGCGTTTCATCGTAGAAACATCTCCACTTATTTCTCTTCGTTATTTCCTATCTAAGAAATATCTTGGAACACATAATCCACTTATCGCCGCAAGTATTTGGAAAAGAAGACAGTGAAGTACTCCATGAAATATCTTATCGATAATCCTCCATAGATATCAATAACGACCATTATCTGACGAAAACCTGTCGTATCCTGAGAATTACCATTTCACGAGATTTTCCAAATCTTCTAAAAACTCGCCATCCTTCACTAATTTCTGTGGAAGAAAAATTTCACTGACAAGTAATTTTTATACAGATATACGAATCTGAAAGATTTTGATGTAAAAGTTTCGTTCGACAGTCACTTGAAAGAATTAACGTGAAGAGCGAAGGTACTCGATCATGCAACTGTAGCGTTCGAGAATGTGCTCGGAAGTACTTTGATGTTTGAAAGAACATCGCGAAAGAAGTACTCGAACATTAAGATGGATAACAAGCTACATCACAAAAATACGTACAATGTATTTTACTTGAGTCCGACATTGTAATATAATAAGCTGTCGCAATCTTCTCACTACTCGTGTTTAGTTTAGTTCAAGAATGTTTTTTACATCATCTTTTACTTCATTCGTTCAATATTTATACGAGCTTTACCATACCATTAATATTTACTCTCGCAACGAAATAATAAATTTGTCTTATTTTCAAACAAGCGAAACTAGGAAAAAATCCCATAACTCTCGAAAATTTTAACGCCTCTATTGAGATTCTAATTACGGAGTAGATACATACTGCCTTTTCCCCCTTCCAAGATATTTACGAGAATATTCAACAACAAGTTCCGTCCGAAAAAAAAACCAAATTATCAAACAGACTAGACACTGATCGACAGAAAAAACAGGCTAAATTATCCATCACCAGACTGTCTACTTTTATACTTGTACATAAAATTTCAAGGTACAGAGAAAACACAAGTACAGAATTATGCGAAATAATTCAGACGTAGACCACGTTGCAACAAACTCTCTCTTGCAGAAACATGCATAAATATCCACAGTATCTGTTAATAACAACTAACCAATCTATTCTGCCCAATCTTTTGCATTCTCGCGAACACCGTAAACCTGCACGAATACCCATAGTCTAGTTATCTCGACTTTCCGCATTCGCTCGGTTCCTAATCTTCGATCATCGCGAGTCGAGTTGTAGGCGGGGAGAACGGGGGGAGGAGTGAGTGAGAGGGGGGAGAGCGGGTCGTTGGCGCGCGTCGGCCAAACGGGTCGTTCTCGCAGCGTCGTCGGCTGCGATGGTGTCCGGTGTCGCGATAAATTTCGAGATTCCCTCATAACGATGCGGTATGGTGTCGGTATGGTGGTTGCGCGCGCGCTCTCCGGCGATCTAGCGCGCGGGGCCGGGCGTATATCAATCGCGGTTAATTAGTCGGCCGCTGGAGGCAGCCAGGCTGGCTTCGTGGGCGACGAATAAAGGCTGGCCACGCACGAGCGCGGCGCGACCATCGGGCAACGCGATACCGTTGACCCCGATGGTAAATTGTCTTTCGAGAAAGCGCCCGGGCAGATGGAAACCGCGCGCCGGGGCCTTTTAATTAATCGCGCACGCATCGCGCGCGGGCTGAGCCGACACACTAGGCGAACCTAAGCGGGCAAGCTGCGCTTAAACGTGCAAATGGCAACATTTTCTCAGTTTCAAGTATATATTTAAATGTAAACCAAATGAAACAAATGAGTAGAAAAGGGCAAGAAAGCGACGAATTATTGTGCACGGTTCGGTCACTCGTTATGGTCCGCGAACCAGTCGCCAGCGCAAGGGGTTAATCGCGATTAATTAGCTCGGCCGGGCTTCGATTTAGAGGAGTGGATGGTATGTCGCGACGACGTGGGAAATGCCTCGCGGGAACCGGAGGCATTTTCAGCATACCCGGGGTCAAACCCCAGGCTGAAACTGAGTGTGTCGTTCCCGTAGGTCGAGCGAAAACTTCTCCGTCTCGTTACTCGTTACGGTGGTGGAGGAGGAGGAGGAGGAGGAGGAAGAAAGGAGATTGGCCACAATGGCTCGCTAGAAAGCGGCACCGAATTATTCGCTGTTTATGGAAACAACCAGCGAGCCAGCTTCTCTGCCGGAACAGCCTCGTGTAACAATGAGCGGCCGGAACGGATACGCTTCGCCTTCGAAACATCGAAGCTTCGCTGACCTTTGCATCTGCGTCTCTGGATGCAGATAACTGAATAGTTGGTAAAAATTTGTTGTTAAAAATCGGAGAGGAATGGAGTTCCCCTGGGAACTGGACTGTCTCAACGGTTTTCTTTTCTCTGCTGTATACACTTTCGTTGCGGGTTGAAACTGCAGAGAGAAACAAGAGACGGATAATGTGTGTCCCTGAATTTTCGAAGGAGATCTCGAAGAAATCTTGGGTTGATTAGTTTCAGTCGAACGAGTACCTACATTTGAATTCTGTTTCGAATGCAGATTGACAGCCCTGACGGGAAGACTAAAATGCAATTAAAAACAGAATGATTAATAGAACTCTATTTTCCAGAATTTTGAATAATCGAGTTTGTAACTTGACATAACTCGTCCACTCTAGACTTTCAAGAAATGTCAGAAAGCTACGTAACACGTCACCCGTCCACTCTAGACTTTCAAGAAGTGTCAGAAAGCTACGTAATACGTCACTCGTCCACTCTAGACTTTCAAGAAGTGTCAGAAAGCTACGTAATACGTCAAATTATTCTTCGACTGAAATAACAGAGACACCAATAGTCTTCAACGTCTTTTCCGAAAAGAATTCGTATATCGGAAATGCTCTCGTATTTCCCAATTGTCGAGAGAATCAAGCTCGAAGCAAACGATATTGCCGATGTCACTCTCACTCGGCTCGGAACATCGAGTCTTGAACTAACTGCGCTCGAACGCAAGATCGTACTTTCCTTCCAATTTTCACCCTTTCGTGCAGCTACACACCGTGAACACACAGTCGCACAGTTTCCTTCCTCGTAGCGAGACACTCGAAGCTCAGACGCAACGAAACGCAGTGTCGACAGCGTCAGTTCGACACCGATCACTGTGAACGGAACCGTTATCGAACGAGCCTGATTACGCGGGGATAATTTTTCTTCTTGCCGCGAGTCCTAATCGCGACGTGCCACCTCCGCTTCGTCGGCGACGCGATGTTGGTAAACAAAAGGCTGGATATCTAAATCGCGACGAGCGTATCACGGCTCGCCGGCTCGAGAGGGTCCCTAATACCGGTTTCCTTATCTGAGCACGAATCGAAATCTGGCGTGTCGCACGCGTTTCCAACGCGTTCCCGCCGCTCGTTGCACGCACCTCCCCGAGCGCACGAACGAACGCGGGACCAACCGTTCCAACCGGAACCGGTTGAAATTTCGACGCGAGGGAGGACCGACCCGACACGCGGGGAATTCGTCGAATTCCCTGTGGAACCGGCGAATTCCAGCGCGCTGCTCCGAGAACATAACGTTCGACACGATTGTTATCGTTGTTACGAGACAATTAGCGGATAACGGATAGATATGGCATTCCTTTCTAAAATCGTGTCTCTCACTGATTGAGTGCAGAACGAAGGTTTTCACACGGTTGACGAAGAAATACGCGGTCTCCTCCATTCGTGGAAATATCTTTCACCGGGTGAGAGCGAGACAAAGCTTAACTGAAGGATAATAGAGTTTTTCTTTTGCTGTCTGAGAGTAAACTGCAGCTCTCCACGAACAACTGCCACGACAACTGACTCGGAATAAAGTGAACGATCTCTGCGGTATCTGGATTTTAAACACTTTGGACATTTTCTTGAATATCAAGCACTGTTTGAAGTTTCGTCAATCGTGTAGCGAGGGAGACACGAGTCGAGTTAAATTGGAAACGATTCACGGCGAAGAAGAAGGTCGTATTGAGGGAACGTATTGTTGAAAATGGAAGAGATCTTCACCAACTACGGCAGAATATTTCAGCAGAGGCTGAACTATTAAGAACTCGACTACTACGTAACGATTCTACACAGAGTATCACAGGAACAACTCAATTCACAATTCGACAACCAGGAAACGACTTTTAGAACGATTCGTATCGTGCACACGAACATGATTATGTGGAAAAGCCTCACTTTACGTCACAACACGGTAGATGGATAGGTATATGCTGTGTCTAATTTTCATCGCGATTGTCCCGGACGATAGTCGACGTTTACGAATATCGACGAGTTCAGCAAGTATTAATTTGTCACTCTAAAGATGATAAGCACTGATCATAACACGAACTAGAACACTAACAATGGATCTACATCCTGCGTAATGAGCACGTACCTGGGTTCATATCCCGCTGGCTGCCAGTTTCCTCTTCAAGTAGTAGACCCACTGCACTATTATTTCTGGTTGTTTGGCTAATTTAACACTACCTTCTATCGAAGCACGATATTTATATTTTCTTATTTCTTTTTCCTTTTTCTTTCTTGCTTTTCTTTCCAAGTGAACAACTAGCGATCAAACTGGATGTCCAGACACTTTTAGCTTTCGTTGGTCACGTTGCGCGTTTTTTTTTTTCTTTTCTTCTTCTTTTTTTTCTTCTTGATGAGACGCGTATCGG